CAAGAGATAACACAAATTAACAATCAAATATTAGAGGATAATCCTCAGCCGATACGATCCATGAGATACTTTAACATACCAAGAGCGGTTTTATGGGCGGTTCTAGGCGCCTGGCCAGAACATCGTTCCAGTTGACTTGCTTGAAGAATGGATGTATTTGGACTGCCGCCGCATCCTCGGGCCCGCTGCCAAGGCGCTGTGGCTCCTGGCGCTTCATGAGGCGACGCACCAGATCTCTGGCTTCGGGTGTGAGGTAGGCTGGCAGATTGAGCTTGGCTTTCAGAATGGTCTCGATGGTCTTCTTGCGGTTCTCGGCGGTAAAGGGCGGCTAAAAGAACAGTGACAGACAGGTTTACATAACAGAAAAGGCCAAGGCAAAGGCAAAATCGATGGCACGTGTTGCACTTACCACTCCTGTGAGCATGTCGAACATGAGGGCGCCCAGGGACCACCAATCGACGGCTTTGCCATGGCCACTTCTGGTTAGGATTTCAGGTGCCCTGAAAGTCAATGGGTAAACATATTAATCTCGATTTGCATACGGAACGGGGCTAGAGGAAGAAAAGGCTTGGCGGGCGCACGCACATGTACTCAATTGTGCCGCAGAAGGTGTGGGTGACAATACCCTCTTGTATGTGCTCCTTGCACAGGCCGAAATCTGTCAGCTTCACATGGCCCTGTGAGTCCAGCAGTATGTTTTCGGGCTTTAGATCGCGATAGATGATTCCCAGTTTGTGTAGATGGCCGAGTGCCAATATGATTTCGCTTAGATAGAAGCTGCAATGCAATACAATTATGATACGAGTTTAGTACTGATCTCTAGAGGGATATCTACCATGTGGTATCCTCCAGGAAGATGCCCTCACGCTCCAAATGCATGAACAGCTCGCCGCCGCTCAGATATTCAAGTATAAGGTAGAGTTTTCCATCTGTTTGAAAGGCATAGACCAGCTCCACTATGAAGGGGTGCTATAACGAGCAGATAGATATAAGATACGATGCTATGGCATTGATGGGGGGACTGGGACTCCAACCTTGACGGCCTCAAGTATGTTGCGCTCGGCGCGTGTGTGCGCTGTGTCCTTCTGGTTGGTCACTATCGATGCCTTCTTGAGCACCTTCATGGCAAAGTATTTGTTGGCATCTCGTCCAGCGGTCTTGCGCACCTACAAAATGAAAAGGAATCGTTACTGGAAGAACATCTACTCGTCATAGTAGGGAAGAACTCACCTGAAATACTTTGCCGTAGCCACCTTTGCCGAGGACTTTCTTAAGCTCAAAGTCCTTGGGTCCCAGTTTGATTTTTCCCGGATTGACATTCTCCTCGGAGAGCTGTATGGTCTCCTGACCCTCGGTGCTGTTTGGACGAGAGATAAGGGAGGGATTCAATGGTTAATTGTCTGCTCTACTCTGCTCTGCTCAGCGTGTGCTGCTTGCGTCGTTTGTCGTCGCGTCGCATCGGTCGCGTCCGTTAGCGTGGGAAAGGAGCAGCCCACGTGCTATAAATAAACACCATCGGGCTGCACGCGCCAATCGTCACCTCCACTCTGCTCCCATCCCCTACGCTGTATCCCCCCTACCCCACACTATTAGGCGCCCCACCCTCCCAATGCCACAATGCTATCGAGTGTTTTGCCGTGTGTCTTGTTTGCACGTTGCCCCTCCAACGATTGAAGAGGTGGGAGGCGGCGTCCCAGCTCATTGCCAGTCAATAACAGTTGTAAACACTTCTGGGCTTAGGCCTGGTAATGGGTTTGGGTCTGGGCATCGCTGTGGCAGGGCTGTGTGTATATCGCAACTAGTTATCGCTATCTGGGAGTAGCACAGGGTGTAGCCTCGTCCGTCTGGCCGGGGATCAGGCTCTAAGCGGAATCAATCAAATGTTAGCTAGTCCAGTGCTTGTAAACAAGTCCCAGACTGATAATTGCCAATTAGGCTGCTCATTTGTCCTCCTGCCACCTTATCTACACGTTTGTCCAGGCGCCTTCTCAAACAGTCACGTAATCCTCGTCCTCTGTAGCAGCAAAATAGCTTTGGCATTACTCACTCTTGGTGCAGATTAATACACAATTCCGGTTCTAGATCAACCTGCAAATGAGATGAGAGAGAGAGAAGCGTGAGATGACGACATATGAGAGAGCATACTCGTAGGAGGGGGGAAACAATTAATCATAGTTATTACGAACTTCAACTCGAGCTCGAACCCGAGAAACCAAAAGCAGAAGGGAAAGCTATGCATCATCCTACAACGAGCGAGAGAAGCTCGGATACTCTCAACCGATCGATGGGTCATGTTTCGTTCTGGGGAACCACAGCCACTACCGGAACAGAACTCTACTCGCAATCTATTCTATTTAAAGTTTGTGGGGGATTTTTTCGATTTTAATTATTACTTGCTAATTAATTGCAGGCCTGTATCGCGATCTCGATTGGATAATTACTATTTGGGGGAACCAGAAATATCCTTATAATATAGTTATCTATTTAATGTTTTGTGGATTGCATTAGATATTTGGAAATTGTAAGAATACAATCTGTAAATACATATTACAACCGGCATGACTATTCGATGCTACCCCAAGTGCCACAAGTTTATATTAAAATAAAAAAACACAAAGGCAAATTCCGGCAAGATCGCTCGCCGGAGGCACCAGGCAGGGGCGCTCTTTCTCTCTGGAGTCTGTAACTGTGAACCCAATGGATTTCTCCCTCTTTCTGATCTGCCTACACAAACACACACTCCTCACATGCTCAAGGGGGAAAGAGAGCCACACATAGATACACTTTCTACACGCATACACCTTTTTCTTTAATGACAAACTAAATTTAGAACTCGGAACAATGCCAAATAATCTGCCGGCAATGCTGCTGCTACTGCTTCTTCTGCTGCTGTGATGGCGGCTGCTGTTGCTGCTCCAACTGGGGAAGGCCACAGTTAGGGGCGGACTGGCGCTGGGGTGGGCAGCAGGAGGAAAGGCAAAAGCACAAGGAGAAACAGTGGTAGGGGGCAGAGGCAATGCCTGGCTCTCGTCATGCTTAAAATGTGTGTAGAATATGTATAATATTTTTGACTAAAGTTCAATTGAATGGCGGGGAGGTGTCGCCAGCCAGTCAGCCAGCCAGCTAGCAGCAGCACATTAAAAACTGGTTCACCTCGTCAGCGTTGGCGGTGAATTCCAATTAACAAATCCGTCATAATTTATAGTGTTCACACAAATTCGATAGATGGATGAGAAGCCTGCCCCTTTTGGAGTAGAGTGCGATGTGTGTGCGCTTGCGTAAATTTCATTTGACAGCCCATCGAACTGGGCGAACGAGTGTATATGATAAGAAACAGCAGTGATATGGTAGGGCGGGGGATCTACAAATCTACAAAGGTATAGCATGCCCCTCGCTGCACTTCTGTACCCCCCTCAAAGTTTACTGCACGCGCCGGACCCAACATCGTTCTTGCGTTTCTCGCTCACTTTTCGATTACACCTTATCGGCAAACTAGGGTTTTTCTCATTTTTTTATTTTATATTACCCACTGATAAGGCATTTCGTTTTCTAAGTGGAAGTTTAGCCCCCTCTCTAGGTCTCTGTGGCTCTTGTTCTCTCACTCGCAGTGTTCCTGTGTTGTTTTAAGATTGGAAAAGAGAGGGAACCTCTCGAGTTGCGGCGGGGTAATTGGAACTGATTATTTTGAAGGACATTGGCTTTAGTCTGGGCTGGGGCTTGCTACGATTGCTCAATACCACGATCATAATGCTGTTTCATAAGGAGGGAACGAGATTGTATTGGATTGGATCGGGGCATGGCATGGCGGCAAGGCGTGACACGGGTGTCTGGTCTGGGGATATTTTCGTGTACATATAATGAATGTGCATTATAATACATGCTGAATAATCTTTGCCACTGCTGCTGCTTCTGCTGGAAGCAATGATGACGCCACATGCAAAGTGATGTCGACTTTTGCGCAGCAGATAAGCCGAGTTCCTTATACCGATGATGGTACCAGGCAGCTGGCAACTGGCATCGCTTTGTAGAGGAAACTGGAAGTGGAGATGTAGATGAGGCACAGACAGAGAAGCTTTCACAGACAAAGCGAAAAGGTAAACAAAGAGGAAAATTCCGCCCCCGTACAATGGAGCAGGGAAATTGCCTGAATGGCGGCTGCTGGTGAAATTTTTGCTGCGCAGTTTGACAATTGTCTGCAATGCGCCCTTACATCGTCCAGCTCGATCCTGTCGTCGTCGGAGTCGTGCGCTTTGTCGTCCTCGTGAAGCTCCAGGTCGAATAGCTCACTGGGATCGCTCACGTCCGCCATTTGTGTGCTGTTGGTGGCCGCTGCCGTGGTGTCGCTTAACTTAATGCTTCGTCACACAATAATTTGGCTCTGCCTTTGTGGCTTTTGCTTGGATAATTTGTTGCTGTTGCTGCTGCTACGGTTTCGGGTTCTTTGGGGTGTACGGAATACGGAAAGAGCCCTAACTGGCAGACAGCGCTGCACGATTTTATTTTAGTTTCGGTTTGTTGGAACAGGCGGAGGGGCAGTTTTCGTGGCCCCGAAGGTTATTGTTTATTAGTTAATAGCAATACAAATACAAATATATACACACAGACGCACACGCACACACGCTCACTAACACCGACGCACGCACCACGCACTTGTGCCACAAACACACACACTGCGAGAATTGCCAACGCGCGCCTTTGCAATCTGCCTTGCAATTTATCAAATACGCAATTGTTTGCAACTGCCTCTGGTCGCAATGTTTAATAACCAGTAATTAAAATGCACTTTTTTCTTTGTTTGCGAGCGAACACGAGGTAATAGGGTATCGATAGTACTATCGATGCATAGACGCTTATCGTTTGTGACTCACTATCGACTGACCTATTTTCATTATCGATGGATGGCCACCCTGCTCATTATGGGGACTGGTGAAACTGATTTTGATTCACTTTAAGCAAATCTGGAGTACTTGTAGTCAAGAACAAAAAAAATAAAATTGGTAGTCAAGTTATATATATTTCTATGTTTTAGGTAGGTATGTTTAGTTTTGTGTCCTCGCTTGGCGGGCTTCAGTCTCTGCTTTGAAGTTTCTCTTGAAAAAGGAGTCCTGTCCTTGTTGCAGGTCCTTGTTTGTTAGTTCTTCGCATCCGCCTCGACCAAAAATATACTGTGCTTTTCCCCGCCGGATGCGAGCAGCATCTTCCTCTTATGCATATGCTTGCTGCTGACTAGAACCGGCTCCAGTTCATCTTCGCCTTCGCCCACTCCCAGCTGGTTATTGGAGCCCAAGCCCCATGAATATAGCTTGCCATCCTCAGCAATGGCATAGGAACAGCACGTGCCACAGCCGACATAGACAATGTTGTCCGACAGCTTCTTAACGCGCGTCAATTTGGGCACCACGTCCTTGATATCGCCCAGGCCCAGGCGTCCACACTCTGGCGAACCAACGGCAAAGCATTGCAGATTATTCTGCAGCAGAAGTGTGTGATCAGAGCCACCAGCAATCTGCTTTATATTTTGTAGCGTGGTCTTCACCGGATAAATATAGTGGTCCGGTTCCAACTCGTTTCCGTGGGCCAGCTGCTTGCTGTCGTTCAAACCCATGGCCCAGATAGTTCCCGTCTGAAATTCGCGCAGGAACGTCCCATGATTAGTGGCCCATATAGCCTCGAACGGCTTGGCGTTCTTGATGAATATCTGGGCCGGTCGAAGCAAATCCTGCTTGCCACGGCGGCCTGGAAAATGAATACAAGAGTAGTTTTTTTTATTTTTGAATATACTCTAATTTGGCCAAAAACTCACCATCTCCGGACAATGAACGCTCTGAAATGCGCCCCAGCTGGCCGTACTCGGCGCATCCGAGTGTAAAGACCTTTCCACTGGTGGTCAATATGACCAAGTGATCAGAGCCAGAGGCAATGCTGCAGCACACTGTTCCCGCCAAGAGATTAGTCGGTGTGGTATTGTTGTCATCGTTGGTCATGCCCATGTTTCCGTGCGAGTGGAAGAACGATCCCCACACATAGACGCTGCCGTCTTCCAATATGCACGCAGAGTGCGAATCTCCCGCCGAGATGCACAGCGCTTTGCCGGGCAATTTGACCAAAGCGGGCATAGACTCTCTGCAGTCCTGACTACTGGAACTCCGACCCAGTGCGCCCTCTTCGTTGCTCCCAAACGAGTAGACATCGCCACTCTTCGTAAGGACGAGGCTATGCAAGCCACCAGCGCAAACATCCACAGGATTCGGTACTCTACTCACCAGCGACAAGCGGTTCAGCAGCAAGACTGGCGAGCCCAGGCCAAGTTGCCCGGTGTAGCCCATGCCGCATACCAGAACTCTGCCCACCGTCACGCGTCTCTTCGGTAGTTCCAGGTGGAAAGCAATGGGCTTTATTTTAACCTGAGTGGGGCAGGTTGGCATTTTGGGTTGAAAAATTATTATAGTTTGGGTCAATAAATTACGGAATTTGAATTTGCCCTTAGCTTTTCGATGATTATTTGAGTATATTATCGATGTCGCCGACACGACATCCATTATATATCGAATCCATCGCATCCACTAAAATACTTGTTACGGGCACGCGGAGCACACAAATTTTAATTATCTATAACTAACATATTTTAATTAGCAAGACAAATTATGTGCACCGGGTCGCCCAGCAGCAATGGCTCCCAGTCGGAGGAGGCCACTGCCACTGCCGAGCAGCAGCCACAGCCGGAGCAAGAGGCAACGGAACAGCCTCTCAGAACGCCCACGCACGCAATTGTGGGTGCTGCCAAGGCGGAGGAGATCCTGGCCGAGTACGGCAGCAATCTGAAGCTACTGGAGTGCAACTCGCAAGTGTCCGAGCTGCTCACCATCATCCGAGACAAGTAGGTGGCGGAGGAAGAGTGCGCGAAACATTATTACCTCACGCTATTCTTGAAGGAACACCACCCGCAGCGATTTCAAGTTCTATGCCGACCGGCTGATTCGTTTGGTGATCGAGGAGTCCCTCAACCAGCTCCCCTACACCGACTGCGACGTGGAGACTCCCACAGGTGCCATCTACGAGGGCCTCAAGTATCGATCCGGCAACTGCGGCGTGTCGATCATTCGGTCTGGCGAGGCCATGGAGCAGGGCCTGCGGGATTGCTGTCGGTCCATAAGGATAGGCAAGATCCTGGTCGAATCGGATGCGAATACACACGAGGCCAGGGTGGTCTATGCCCGTTTTCCCGATGACATTGGCAGTAGGCAGGTCCTGCTGATGTATCCGATCATGTCCACCGGAAACACTGTGCTCCAGGCTGTGAACGTGCTGCGCGAGCATGGAGTGCCGGAGAAATGCATTATACTGTCGAACCTATTCTGCACACCTGTGGCCGCCCGCACCGTGGTCAATGCGTTCCCCCAGCTGAAGATCCTCACCTCTGAGCTGCATCCCGTGGCGCCCAATCACTTCGGACAGAAATACTTTGGTACAGACTAGATGATAGGTCAGACGAGAAGTCACATCAGAGCGACGCGCAAGCAAGCAACCACAACAGACTTGACAACTAAGCGCTGCTTAGGATAGGTAGTGTGAGTTAGCTACTCCCTGCACCACACCCACTCACCCAGATTCAGCCCAGATCCTGCCTAGACTAACTCTCTCTAACCCTCTCCGCCAGCAAACTGTGTCCGTACTAACACCTTCCCCTCTCTGTCTTTGTGTTTTAGATGGCATTTGAATCGACAGCTGCGTCGGCGACGGCGAGCAGATTACCAAAAATTCTTTCACAACTGGCTTTTAATGCAACTCTCAAAATCGTTAATCGGTTAACTTAATGTGTAAATATATAGCATGAGCATGAATAAATATTTAAAGCAATCACGGAGCTAGGTGCTCATCTTGTAGTTTACCACTGTCTCCACCTTATGGAGGCCCGTTGAGAAGGAGCGCAGCTGAACTGCCTGCGCATTCTGGATGACAATGGCTCCAGTCTCGTCCCATTTGGCGGGGAGCTGGGTGTTCTCCAGCGTGTGGATCATCACATCGAAGGTGCAGATGCAGTCCAGCAGCGGCAAGTAACTGACCGTGGCCGAAATCTGACGCATCACGTCACGAATTTCGTTTTGAATGCGAGTCTGGTCCTTACTGGACGTTCTCTGGGTGGGATCGGCGGCCTGGTTATCCCCCATCTCGGCCTGCATTTTGAAGTCCCAGCACTCGAGCACCTCCTTGCTATGGGCATTCGTGATGACCATTGAGATTTTGTTGATCATGTTCTTGGAGAGCCATTCTGCAAAAGGCAGCGCCGTGCAATTAGCAGGCACTTCTAAGACTTTAGGACACGGACACGGGCGCCGGCCCCGACTCACCTTCGGTTTGGCTGAGGACGTTCTGCAGGAAAGTGGTAATCTTTGGGTCCTTGGACATTAGAATGGTCAAGCCATATTGCTGGGTGCTGTCGAAGTTTTCCGCCGGGTAAATGCCGCGTTGGAACAAAATCGAGTGGATTCCGTACTCTATATTCGGCAATAAACAAAAAAGACGCCAAATAGCGCGGGCTATTATTGTCCGTGCTCTTGTTGTTGGTGTGAATTGTGTTCTGCCTACTTACTTAAATACTCCACGATAATCTGTGCGGATCCTTTCAACGTAATGCAGTTCTTGGTGGCTTGGGCAGACGACAAGTTCAAAACAATCAAATAAAATCAAATTATAAGGAAATTAAAAATTTTGCACAAACGCGCTGACAAGTATCAATCGAGGGCACTATCGATAGTATCGATATTTTACAGTTAGCCTCTACTATCGGCTTGCTATTGGCTGCTATAAAATACGAAGACACATTTGTAGACAACTCGACAGGTGGCATCTAATTTTTACAATGGACAAGTTCCTAAAAGGTTTCAATGGTTTTTTAATAATTATTTGAGCCCGATACTATTACGATAGTATCGATTGTTTTTTTTCAAAACATTCAAAACCTTCGATGGCTCAACTATCAATTGTTTGACAGCTCTAGTGTGACCTGGATTTATCCTGACCCTCAGAAATATACTGACAATTCAATACACGCTAGGGATGATATATTTTGGTATATGTTATCGAAACGGAGCAATTTAAATGAACCGCGAAAGATGCCCATTTTTGAAATTCATTAATTTATTTATTAAGAACACCAAAAACATTTATTGCAACAAATTCAAAATTTTATTAGCCGTCTTCTTGTAAACTAAAACTAAGCATGAGATCCATTTCTATACGCAAATCGTGTAAGCTCCTCACTATCCGGCTAGACTCCTCATGTCCATTGAGTGTTGAAGTTGTCGCCTGTCGAGAGACCAAACGAAGATAATGCTTTAGCCAAGGGAAAATTAACCCAATATAATTAAACCGAAACCGGGCTCGGTTCGACAGAGCTTTGGTTGCTGGTTGTTATTCATTGTTGGGGTAAATGAACAGGAAAGGCGGATGGGGGAAAATAAAATTACCAAAAGCAAAAGAATATTGTTTTTTCCTATATATGTATCAAACGAAGAACAGAGAAGAAGCTGCAGGCAGATGAAGAAGAAAGGGAAATCAAAACCAAATCAAAAAGCAATCCATTTTGTAAATGTGAATTATTTGCAAATTTTTAATAAAGTTTTTTTCTCTTACGCATCGTTTTGTTTGTTTTGTTTTGTTTTTTTGTTGGTTTTTCTGTTTGTTGTTTGTTTAATATTTTGTTTTAAATTAAAATTTAACTTTACATGGTATTTTTGGTATAAATCTTTCAATAATTAAATATATAAAAAATTTTCCACTTACGAATAAAACTAAAAATAATCTCGTTTACGCCTAGCCATAAAAACTGATGTCAACATACACAGTGAGAAAAAAAACGTAACTAAATTTGCAATTATACATCGTACATGTTTTTCCATTTCAGTTTTCAAATATTATGCAAAATCAGAAACAAGGACAAATAAAATAGTATTTCGAAATTAAGTATCTTTATAGTGTGTATGTGTGTGTGTGTGAGAGGGTGTTGGGTGTGTGTGTGTATGTGTGAGCTTAAAGATACAAATTTTATAATTTATGTAGGTGTAATTAAATACAATAATAAATTATGGTTAAAGAAGGGCTGGTGGCATTAACTTAGTTGAAATGTACACAAAACTTAACGTTAGTTAAAAACGAGAGATATTTACAGGATTTATTACAACGTTCTCGGCTACGTCAAGCTTTGATCTCTTTCTTTAATGTCTATGATACAACAACAAAAGCGCAACAGTGTCAGTGACAGTCGGTTCAGGGTCAAAATCGGTTATACTTTTCGCTTTCCGCTTCTCTTTGCAATAAAATAATTTTATTAATTATGTCAGATTCTATTTTAATTTTAGTTTCAGCTTTTCATATTCAAAATATTCCCAAACAGAACCTATAGCAAAAGTCAGTCTGGATCTGTATCTTTTGACTGTGGAAAAGGAGGGACACTCAGGGGTCGAGGAGGCTCCCAAGTACGAGTATTTTGAATGGTTTACAATTTTTTGTAGTTGCAAATTGTGTGAATGGTAATGGCATTCGGATTTCGGGCTTAATCTGACAGCGCAACAAATTATCTAATTTTTCGTTATAATAAAAAAATTACAATTGTCGATGTTCTTGGATTGCGGGATTGGTTTTCGTTTTTCGTATTTTTTTTTTCGTTTATAAAAATCATAAAAATAATAAAACAAAACTCTATGCATTAATAGTCGTTATTTAAGGTATGTATTGTATTTGGCCGTAGATTGCAACAAAATATCTGTGAAGAGATTAAATTATAAATAAAAATTAAAAATTAATCTTCCATCTTTGCTTTCCGTTTCGTTTTACGTTTAACTATTAGCTGGCTAAAACCATTTCCAAAAAAAGAAAAAAATAAATACAAAAGGGGGGCAGCTACAAGCATCAAATGCGCTCTCGAAAGAAAGAATTCCATGCAGAGGGAGAGCTATGTTGAGAGAGAAAGCATCCGATTCGGAATATATCGTATGTACTTGGAAATAGGCTCAAGTTCTCTCTGGTGCGATGGAACTTTTTGAAGGAGACGAGCACAAACTAAGGAATAATAGTGAACAGAGTTACCCAATCGGAAATGCATAGATTAGTCAATAGAAAAATTACAAATCAATAAAAAAAAACAATCACCAAATAAAAGTTAAACAAGGAGCAGAATGAAGTTGTTTGGTTTTTGTTTGAATCGGTGTTTCGGTTTGTCAAAATCTACAGCCAAAGGGTTAATATGATGTCTAATAACGAGTACATAAGAACTAAAATTAATCGCAAATCATTATTAATTATTTGTTGTATTGTTTGTTATTCATGTGGGTTACATCGCTGAATAGAGAGTTTTCATTCATTTGTGGATCTTTTGCCAACTACAAAAAACTTTTGATCGAAAACAAAACAAAATTCAGTTCCCGTTTTCCGTATCGATTCTTTTTGTTTGTTTCAGTACATTGATTTTTGTGGGTGAGTGTGTTGCCATTTGTTGAAAATGTTCTTCTATGTATAGGTATGGGTATATGTTTTGTTGTGTTATGTGTTTGTGTATCTAACTTAAGAGAGCCTCTGTTTATTCATTGTTATTCATCCTTGATATTCATATTGTTTTTATGCGTGTGTTTGTGTGAGTATTGAACAAGATTCGATAAGTTTCTGTGTTTCGCGTTGGGGATATCCTCGTATTGTATTGTCCGTCGATCTGTTCGCTTGTCCGTCCTTCCGTCCGTCTGTCAGAGTGTTGCTTCATAATTTTGTTTTGTTTTTGCTGTTTTTAACATTTAATCGATTGTGTGTGTGTTGGTGTGTGTGTGTGTGATGAGTGTGAGTTTGAAATTAAATTAAATTTCTATTTAAAAAACTATTTAAAATAAACCTTCTATAGCACCCTTTGTTTTTATTCGTATTTATTTGATTTTCATCTCGTTTTTTTTTTTGTTTGTTTTGTTTTGTTTTCATTGTTTTATGTTACAAAATAATAAAGATTATATGAACAACATTGTTAGTTATTTATTGTTTCGTTTTTAAGACTTTACTTTGTTGCTTTTTGGAATGTGTTCTCTAATAAAACTTTTAGTTTGACTGATAGCAGGGGTGGTTGGTAGCATGGGGAGTTGTGGGTGTGGGTATGGGTTTGGAGTGTGGTTTCGGAGATAGTGGTTCTATGATTTGGATCCGATTTCGCATACTATATTTGTACTTTCTGTGTAAGTGTTTGCTTGAGTGTCGCTCTATCAACTATATTTGGTTTATTTCACTTTCTGTTTGTCTTGAATTGTTTTCTCTTGAAAGGATAATGGATGAAGGATAATGGTGAAATGTACTGTCCTGTGTGGTAATTTCGTTGGTTTCGCTTCTATACAATTGAAGATTATGTTTAGTTAATAATTATTTTGGTATGGGCACTGAGTTCGGTTCGGTTTAGTTTAATTTGATTTGATTTTTCATTTGATTTAAGTTGTGCTTTTTTATTTATTTTTGTTTTGTTTGTATTTAGTTAATGTTTCGATTTGTCGCATTTGACTCGATCTAAAACAATCGATGCTATAGAAGTGCCTATTTTAGCAGTAATAACCTCCATGATAATTGTCGCAAAATTCGGGATTACTATTGCTGTACCTACTGTCGGGCCTACTGTTCTCGCAACGTTCGCCGAAGTATCCGTTCGGGCAACTGAAAGACACGCAAAAAAGAAAGTTGAGAGATCAATATTAGTATAAATTGTATTTCACATTCGCTTTTCACACTTTTCAGTGTGCATATATGTATGTACATTGTGCGGGGTGGGGAAAAGGGAAATGGGAAAAGGAAAAATGGGAAAAACCAAGGGAAAATGGCCATGAACTGCGTTGCAACATTCGGCAGACCACTCAAATGTAAACAAAAGAACAAACAAATTAAGTGTATAAAATGATTTTTAGCAAAAAAAAAATATAATAAAAATAAAATGGGAAAGAGCACTCTGGCATTTTATGGCATGGAAATGGAAATTGATTTTCCACACTCGTACTCCACCAAAAAAAAAATATATATACATACATATATATTTTATTCCAAGTGAAATGCGCTTTTTTGGGATGCCACTGGAATGGATGAGATTCAATCGAATTGAATCGAATCGAGTGAGTCGGTTTGGTTGTACACACACACACACACACTCGGATAAAACGAGGCGCTGAAAGACATTATTCACATTGCACTCATACTCTTATACAGACACTCATCCACACTCGCACTCACAATCATACGGTTTGCATTTTGGGTCTTGTCTGGAAATCTCCCTCCCAGCATCGGCGGCAGCATCAGCGACTGATCCTCAACAAATTTGTTGCCTTTTAATTGCTCTCCCGTCTCGTCTCTTGTAATGCGATGCCAAAATATTACAAGATATATATATAGAGAACAGGGAGTATGGGTGGGGAGTCTGCGAAAGGATGGGGTAGAGGAGAGCTGCCTTTATCAGCTGACACATGAGCGAGGGTTTATCAGGTCCCAAACAAAAAAAAACCACTTGAGTTAGGGATCACACACAGACAGACGAGTCTCAGGATAGTACATACATGCATAGATAGCACTATGTAAGCAGATAGGAGACCGAACCAGCCCCAAGCGTAGCTGCTGCCGGAGACAACTATACTCGAATATACTCACTTGCAGTAGAACTCGTTCACATCCGGGATCAGCATGCAGGTGCCGCCGTGGAAGCAGAAGTCAATAAAGTGACAGGGGGTGCCCGAGCTGCGAGTCTGGTCCGGCCGAGAGGCAACTGAAACGATTCGAAACAGAATTAATATTATTAATAAAATGATTTACACGGAATGTATGCTGTGTATGCTGATGTCTTGCTGGGGGTGTGTTTTGTGTGTTGTGTGTTGGTCGCCTTCAAATGTGCCCATAAATTAGAAACGAATTGGAGCATTCCGAATTAGTAGAACAACCAACCAAAGTGTCGCAACATCCACATGGACACACACTACCACCCACCCACACACACGAGGCAAAACACAGCAACAGCAACAGCACCACTCAAACACTCACCTGGATAGGCATTGATCATGATGCGGCGCTTGATGATCGCCTTGCTGACTTTGTTCTTGGCACGGCACTCGTACTTGCCCGCATCGGAGGAACTATTGAAGGAGCGCACAATCAGCTCGGAGCGTCTTCTATAAGATGGTTAAATATTTAAAATTTAGCAATGAAAGTGCATCAGAACGCATTTGACGGATTCGACAGAAATATGCTTACTTGTGATGCTTGAATTGGTAAACGTTGCGCTTTCGATTGATGGACTTGTCATCCTTGAACCAGGTGACCTTCGGCGGGGGCTGGCCGGACACCTTGCAAACAATACGCAGCTCCCGGCCATTTTCGATGGTCGTGTTGCTCGGCACCGAGGTGATCGACGTGATCGATGCGTTCTGTGCTGTAAGGAACACCAAACAAAACATTAGGCTATGCATTTCCATTGCTCATTTATTTGAGTGTTCTCAGTTAATTTAATTTCATTCGTTAGCGAAATACTCGTATCTTTGGGTACATCTTGGGTGTGGAATTTTCCTTTTCACCTTTGTTTATGGGCTGTACGAATATACTGCTAACATACATATATGTATGTGTTGTATATTCCCAGACTGCCCATAAACAAAATAGCAAACTAGAAATTATTGAGATTCTTTAAGAATTTCCTCTTTATTTTTTTATGATCGTCGCGTATGTTGTTTCTTAGGTTGCTTGGAGATCGTTAAACAAAAATTTAATTTGTCTGGGACTTTCAGACAGGAAAGACTCATGGACTGGAAAATTGTTCAAGTTGTGAGAATGGTGCGAAAAGAGGAAGCCTCAATATGATTCAAAGAAATGCGATGGGGGATGTTGGATATATACAATACTTAATAACATATCCCCGATTATTTCTAATTTATTGTTGGCAATTTATGGCTATCGAAAATTTTGGAATATATTTTAGCCCTCTCTATCGCCCTCGGACCTTAGTCAACTGAATCAGCTCTGACCATTTAGCACTTTCCATCACGTGCCCCATGGCTATGCAGTCTTTATCAATAGAACTAGCCCCACATTCCGCTGATATATGAGTTAGCCAAGAGCTGCACACTGACTCATGCCTTCGAATTGGCAATGAAACTTGCCTCTGCCTCTGTCTTTGTCTCTAGTGGCTATCTGCCACTCCCCCGCGCTGTCAAGTGCCTAAATTAGCCGCCATATCACGTGTCCCATGAGCCGGGGAGGGTGCCGTGCCGGGCCATGCCGGACAGATGAGGGGCGTAGTGAGTGTCCAAGTACTCGTCACATGCTAATCGAGATCTGCGTGCGCTGTCCCAGTGATTCAGTGATTCATCCCCTGATGATCATGATCATTCATCGATTGGTCGATCTATTTCGGTGGGTTCTGTTATGTTCTTCTCTGAGGTGGGTGGAACTGGCACTGCTCTCAGCGGTCTGCGGGTCTGAGGTCTGTGGTGGGTGTGTGCCAGGGAAATGCATTTCTACTGTGTGTATGTGTGTGTTTCATTATGTAATACATACAAGTGTATGCCGGTGTATCTATCAGATACACAGATACACAACGTTCCAAGCAGTCTGCTAAAATTTGCGCAGATTTAATTTATGCGACGAGGATCGCGTGGCCAGACAGAGGTCTGGGATCTTTAGATGTACATACATATATGATGGACATATAGATGAATGTCTATATATGTATGTAGATGTAGGTGTATTTATTCTATCCAAATGCTCGAGTATATATTCAAAGATAAATTATTGTTTATAATTTATGTTGGGGCCCAGCGTCGGGCCATAAAGCAGCATTTTAATTGTGCGCGCCACTTTCTCACGCTCCCAAATTGTCTGTTGTCCCTCTGTCCCCCTGTCACTCTGTCCCGCGTGTATCTGTGTGTGTATGTGTGTTTGTGTGTGTGTGGCAGAGACTTGAAACGTCGACTCACAAGGCGATTAAGAATTGAAGGCAGCACCACACAGAGCACACGCAAAACAAGTTGACAATTGTCATGACCCCCACCCCAACTCCCTTTCCTCACCCTGCGGCTCGCGCTTTGATTTGCCTCGAAATCCCCGCCAGAATAATAAGATGAACATTTTATTTGCCTTCTCCGTGTGTTCGGACAAAAATTGGCATATCATATTGGCCCTCTCCAACCAACACCAGACTCCCCCAACCACCTCCATCTCCATCTCCAGCCCTCTTATTATGACTTAATTATGCGATGAAAAAATATTGTATTGTATATACGAGCGTCTCCCCAGGCCATTGGTCTTTTGGGTATTTGGAATTGGCATTGCCATTTGAATTTGTTGAAGCATGGGCAACATCCCGATGGATAAACTTGGGGACTTTGCTTTGGTATTCAAGTTGTTAGTCCACAGATGAACAGGACTTTTAAGGAAAATAGATTATAAGATGCTTTGGTTTTCGGACGAATAAAAGACGAATCCAAAAGTGAGCAAATTTACTTAGTTTTGCCCTGAAATTCGATACACTCCAGCACAGCAGGGCTCATTGGCCTCTCCGCCAATGGTATTTTCTTATGGCACGAGTGCGTCAACAACAACTTTGGCCAGTGCCTACGTCAAAGCCGGCTGCTGCTGTCGCGCCGCGCTTCCGGAAAAGTCTGGCACAACAGCAGCAACTACGAGAGGAAGCAGCACTGCCAAAAGCAAACGTAGGAAAACTGTCGTCAGTTGCCGTTGCCTGCTCCCCAAATTTAGCACACAGCCAGAGGAGGATAGGAGACACTGGGGGTACACAGAGACAGATACAGAGACGGAGACAGGCAGCGACAAGACGCATTAAAATAACTTTTTCATATTTCAAATAATATTTCTTCTATATATATATATTTTTTTTTTTTTTTTTTGCATTTCATTTCATTTGTGCCCCGCGACGCGCTTTTCCTCTCGAGCGTGACGCGGCCGCCAATGATTCATGCAAATCCATCAACGAGTCTCCGAGGAAAATGGTGAAAAGCGGGGTAGTGGAAGAGCAGAAGAGGAGGAGGGGCTCGGAGACATCACGGAGACAGGCAGCAGCAGCAGCAGCAGCAGCAGCAGCATGTGGTTATCGCATTGCGATTGCAATGTGGGGTCAGGGATTGGGGAATCGTGGAAACGAGGGGGATCGGGTTATTAAATCCGTTTGCATTGAATTAATCAGCAAAAATTGCATGCGACACGCCGACTGGCGCCATCTGTCAGGCCAAATTGCCTGCGAACTCATCGCCGCCATTCATATTCATAGTCATATTCATACTCAAACCACTCACCCCGTTCCATTCATTTACATAGTCATTATGGCGCTTCGATCATTGTTCGCTCGTTGGCTTTTGGGTTTATCCCCGAATGCACTTTTGCTTATTATCTTTTCTCGGAAAATATATAATTCTCCCAATATTCGGATGCCCGAGTGGTGGAATAAGAGACAATTTATTTTGGCAGCTTCGCTGGTGACCCACATTCGGCTCAGAAGATGCCGCTGCCACTGCCACTGCTGCTGCCTCGGGTGCCTCTGCTGCTGTCAGCGGAAGTTTTTCCAAAAGAATAAAATTCATATAAATTTTCCCTCACTCAGTTTTCCCCGCTCGCTCCCGCTCATTTCCACTCTTTGGTTATTTATGATTTCGAATGCGTTTGAATGTTATTTATTTGATTATTTTTGATTCATTTTCATTGGCCCGCGACATTGTGTCATTGCTGGATTCTCTCGAATAAAGTCCAGTGCAGTGATTTATCGGCTCATAAACAAATACGAGTACCACTCCACTCGTACACTCAAGCCCCGTACTTGATATATGTATATCACACACACACTATCTTATTTGTCTGGTTATAATCGTACTCGTAATTGTAGCACGCGTCCCCCCTTTGCAGAGCTGGTGGGCTGGGGTGGGCTGTTTTGGGGCGGAGGAACACTTCAATTAATTTCAGTTGACGCTCTGATAATATAATATTTGCATGATTACACCTCTAGAGAGATAAGCGCCCCGTCTACGTATACTCCACCTGTAAGTAGGTGGAGGGAGTGCCAATACTGGGAATGGAAGCATTGGCCTAGGCCCTAGGCAATGGCAAACAATTGCATTGCTCATCGCCGCCGATTGTCGCCATAAAAACTGCAATGCAATGGCCTTTTCAGACAGATAACCAAAGCGAAAGTTGACAACAGGTTGTTTACGGGTATTCACATTCTATGGCAGTGGATCATGTGGAGAGCCATGATCTTGTCCAAAAGAGCTCCATTTAAGTGCTCTGTTTAGTTACAATTATCTAAGCTTTAAATGCTATATACATATATTCACACCAATTTGAAGAGAGAACATTTCCTGTTGAAGAATATTCCGCATACCTTTAGCAACGATAGGTAGATACTTTCTTTTTAAAAGCCTTTTGATGGCATTTCAAAAGGTAATATGATACACCAGAAGCTAAAGAGAATTATGAAAAGAAAAGAAGATATCTAAAAGCCAGACAGAATAGCAATCCCCGAGTAAGATATCACCTCTTTTCCCGATTCCCCGCCATATCTTTAGATTCGTTTTCAATCAAGCGGCAGCAAACAGTCAAATGATGTTGTTCCAATCCATAAACACACATCCATAGACACAGCCGGAAAGTCGGGTAGGGGAAAACACACATTTTCGCGAGTTCCAAGTTCTGGCGACTAGGCAGATGGAGAGATGGATGGATGGCTGGATGGGTGGATGGATGGCTGGCACGTGTGGCCAAAATGCTGGCAGAACTAATAAAACTAGAAAATAGCAAAAACGACAAGAACAAAAAGAACAACAACACTGGCAATGTTGTCGCCATTTGGCTTCCGTCGATTTTGTCCATGTTTGCTTGCGATTCTCCGCTTCTCGTTGTGGTTTTTTTTTTGTGCCTCTTGTCGTCTTGTTTATTTGCACATTGCGTATACGCAATGTGATTTCCTTTGAAGCGGTGCCTTTCCACGTTCCACGTTCCACGTTCAACGTTTTTTGTCGCTGGCGCTGACAACTCAAGCAAATAGAGAGACAGCAACAACAATCATTTTCGTGGGCCATGTAAATGGGGGGAGGCGGAGGTTGGAAAATCCCAAGCAAAACATCACAGAACGCAGGCAGAATCTGAATCTGAATCTGCCGAGATCCAGTATCCATTCAGTATCCACTCTGAGGCTTATTTTAATGAAGAACCGCATGTGTACGGGTAATCTATAGCGAGATAAGCGATAAGCGAAGCATTATGCCACAGATAGACCTCTTTAGCACCCTAGAGCACAGCCAGCCCTAGCCCCCCATTACCTGATCTGAACTTCCCCTTTGATATGTATTTTTACCCACTGTGGCTTCTGTCGGTTCGTCCGTCTGTCTGTCTGTCTGTCTGTCTGTAGCGTTTAATTAAGTCAAGTGA